TCATGTGTCAATGGATGGTGGAGCGCGGACTTAGTGCCAACCACTCCATGATCGCAGAATTCATCCGTGAGCACAAGGGGGACAACAAGGATATTGGAGAGGCCATCTTCAAGCTTCATGACCGGGTTGATCATCTCCAAGCACAAATCTATGACCTACAAAATCAAAACTATGAGTATGAGTCCAGATATAAAAAGATGAGCCTAGCTGCAGATTTCGGGATTTTGGAAACTCGTTTTTCTTTCTTTGATGAAAAGCCCATGCCTTGGAAGCCAAAAAACAAGCCCACTACTTCATCACCATCATCACCGAGGAAAGAAGCTTGAGTACATGGGTATGGGCACCACCCTTGACTTGTTCCAAGCTTGGGGGAAATTCCCCGGTATTGTTGGAAATATGCCCTAGAGGCAATAATATTTGTATTATTATATTTACATATTCATAATTATAGATTTTATATTCTATGCTATAACTGCTATGATCTTGAAATACGTGATTCTGTGGAAAAACTCATATGCGCGTGTGGAATGATAAACAGTTAAATAGAAGGTTCCTAGTCTTGCCTCTGGGACAAGCTCAAGTGTTGTTGGTGATCACATTTTCTGAATCTTAGGATATCATTAAGTGTAGTGATAGTCCTAAAACAACATTGAGATTATGATGTTGGAAGAACGATCATATTGAATCAACCCAAACTAGTTTGTCGTGAATTGGATTAATATTTTTTGTATTCAATTGTAATAACATGGAGTGTTAACATGTGATCTTGCTTCTTAGACCATGAGAGTATTGTGGTCACTTCTTACCGTAAGATGGGTTTGGGGGTTGCTCAAATATCACCTATAACACGGTGATCATAACGACAACTTACAGGTTCATCAGAAAGTTCGACAAGTTGTTGGATAGCTCGAGAGTGGGATTTTCTCCTCCGGCGATGAAGAGATATTCTTAGGGCCCTCTCGGTGTGACGGAATATATCATCGTATAGCCAAACACAGGTGACTTCGTCACGAGGATGCTGAAACACAATAACGAGAAAGAAGAACAAAACCGGTAACGAGGATTTCGGTATAGTGAGCATGGTGATGACTCAGGAGGATACCGAGACATCCCGGGTTTTGTGAAGTATCGCAAAGCAAAGGGAACATCACATGATAACCAAAGGTTCACTCCAATATCATTTGTGTGCTCATAAGGATCGATATGGACGTCCACGGTTTTGCTATTGGTCATTGAATGAACGATTTTCGTTCATGTCTATGAGTTACCGAACCTACGGGGTCACAAGTTTAAGGCAATCACGATCTGCTAAGTGTTAGTAAGACATGAGTCATGAGAATATATTTGTGAAATTATTTCTTGAATATTCAGAATAGTTCTGATAGGATCCGGAAGCGTTTGGGGGTCACCGGAAGGATTTCGTGAATATCGGGTAATGCCGGGTATTACCGATATATTATATATATACGTGGAAAATGTTTCTAGAGATGTTAAAAGGATATAATGGTCTAGAAGTATTTAGAACATTTTATATTAAATTTAAGTATCAACAAGCCTAAAAAGGCCAAGAGGTGGAAGGAATTATGGGCCACAAGGGCCAATAAGGAAGTGGCACCCCCTTGCCATATTAGCGGCTTTCCTTGTCGGCCCATTGGAAAGGGGGTACCTAGGGGCGACGAACCGGAGCCTCAGAGTGGTGTTCCTGATAGGTCAACCTAGGCCACATCATCAAAGGACCTTCCGGGAGGGGATCCTTTGGCTCCGTCAAGACCCCTAAGGCCCGGGAAGGAGGAGAGACAAGACCTGGCCGGGGCTCCTCCATGTGGGTCCCGCTAGCACGGCGCGGGACTGTAGCGACAACAAGACGGGGCGTAGGCCCCCTTTTGACTTTGAGCAGCATGGAGATCTATCGTAGGGAGGGGTTGTCCACAGTGACCGAGATTCACCCACCCAGTGTGCACCTACAGGAAGGCGTTGTAGCTCCTCATGATAGGTGACTAGGGACCATGCCTGGTGGTTGTCCGGGCAATAACGGGTCCCCCTCTTTGCACCCTGAACAAAGGGAAGAATACAGCCGCCCGTCGAAGGGGCGTGGGAAGGGAGCTTGGCCCTATAAATAGAAGAGACCTTCGCACGCGTAAGGGACTTCCTTTCGAACCATTGTAAACATACACACGTACATCAACAAAGAGCAAGAGTAGGATGTTACACCATCACGGTGGCCTGGACTTAGGTAAACTTCGGTGTCTCCCTTTCCCTCTCCTTCATCTCCGGCGACGATGACCTGGGCGAGAAGACGTGTTCAGTCCCTAGCCGAACTCACAAAGGGTTGTCGTACACAACCCAATGTATGGTTCCTTGACACTGGCATTTGGCACGCCATGTAGAGGGCTGAGGTGTCTCATGCCATCGATCCACGTAGCCCTCGTCACCATTTCCCCAAGAGTCGTAGGACCGACATGGCCTCAAGAACTTCCAAGGCGTCCTTTTCCCGGGTAAACAATAGGGACGTGCGCTTCAAGGGACAACGCCAACACCAAGAGGCTTAGGAAGCCTAGAACGCTGCCCGACAAATACCTCCGCCTCGGCCTCCGCCCCCTATTCCTCCGCTCGAAGGGGACCCCGCTTCCTAGTGGGACTGGGAGTTGGGCGCAACAGACGTCGGAGTTGGTGGGGCAAGCATCGGGGCCGCCTTGGCGGACCCCCATTGGGCCCTAGTTTCGCCTTGACGAGAGGGCCGAACCCACGCACTTTCTACAGCCCGCCGCCGCGCTCTTCGCGGCACGAGAGCTTCAGCGGTATCTGCCGCCAGAGACTGAGTTCGGCCCATGGTTGGCGCGGATTATGTATCTGCTTGGCATCGCTGGGCAGGTGCAGGTGCGATCACAGACCCCTTCGAGGTGGCCCGAGCGTTCGCGTCGGCCGGGCCACACTCTGCTGCCTTTGCGCTCGCAGGAAGATGAGCGGCGCCTGGACCGCGAGCGCCATGATGAGGAGGTGCACTACTCCGAGGCATCCTCCCCGGACCAAGGAAGTGCCTGCCGCCCGGCGGAAGATGCCCGTGTCACCATCGAGTGCCGACGCAAGCGACAAACCCGATTCGCCCGGGAAATCGCGGAGGCAGGACGCACAGCCCGGGAAGTTTCGGGTGGTGGGACCGCGATCGTCAGTGCGGGATGCAAGGCATTTACTCCCGGGTAAACCCGGGCAAACGTCGGGCCGGGCTTGTAAAAGCCCAACCTTCATTTCTCAGGCCCGAGCCCGGCCTGAAGCCCAAAATACTCCCTATTTTCAAGCCCGGGCCGGGCCTGAAATCAAGCCCGAAGCCCAAAAGCCCGGCCTGAATGCTATTTTTTAATACGCGCACGTGCAAGCCTGGCCCAAAATACAGAAAAATTGAAGCCCGAGCCCAGCCCAAACTATCTTTCGGGCTGCAAAACAAAGCCCAAGCCTGATCTGAATGTCAAGCCCGGCCCGGCCTGGGTTTTTTTGGGCCAGGCTCAGGCCGGGCGTCGGGTCGGGCTGCCCATGCCCAGGTTTACTCCCGGGCTACAGGAGGTGGTCTGGTCTCCACATTTCAAGCCGGACTTTCCGCCGATATACGATGGCACGACCAACCCCGTCGAGTTCTTACATCTCTACACCACAGGGCGCATGGTCAAGCTGACGTCACGGTGAATTGGTTCCCGATGGCGCACAAGGGCTCGGCGCAATCATGGCTAATGAACCTTCCCTCGAGCTCTATTGCGTCATCGGATGAACTGCGTGAACAATTCATCGCCAACTTCAAAGGAACCTTTGACCGGTCAGGGGCTATCGCTAACCTAAGCGTCGTCCGGTAAAAGGAGGAGGAGACGTTGCACAAGTTTATCTAGCGTTTCGGCCAGGTTCAGGAAAGCATCCCCCGCATCAACGATGCTGGGGTGGTCGCCGCTTTCCGCGACGTGGTAGAGGACCCTTGGATGCGCAAGAAAATGGTGGTCCATGACGTACGACCGTGGAACTCTTCAAGCTGGCTGACAAATGCGCTCAGGCGGCGGAGGCCCGGGACCAGCCCCTCCCGCGACAAGAAGAGCCTGAAGTGCAAGCCTCCGGCGGTCCTCGCGGCAGAGCCTGAGTGGAAGCAGAAAAAGAAGGAGGACATGTCCTCTGACGGCACGGACGGCAGGCCTTACTGCGCACATGCACGAGATGGCCGACTGCCGTGAAGTCAAACAGCTGGGGAAGGACCGCCAGAAGGAGTGGCGCGAAAAGAGATGCGGCGAAGACAAGAAGGAAGGTGGCCGCGGGGATGGACGTGCTAGCAACCGGGCCGGCAGACGCCCCTCGCGACCACGACAAAGCAAACGATGTGGGCGCCGAAGACGGCCTCGACTCCAACAAGGAGGGAGGCGGAGAGTTTCAAGAGCCAAGGGTTGTAGCGTGCATCCATGGGGGTGCAAACCCCGCACTCAAATCGACACTTCAAGCAGCTCATCCGGGAAGTCAGTGCGGCTCTTCTCGGGGGAGGAGCCCCTAAGCCCGTGAGATGGTCCAAAGTCGCAGTGGTGTTCGACGTTGGTGACCACCCGACCAGCGCGAAAGCCATGGGGGTCATCCCGGTCGTGGTCTCCCCCACCATTCACAACATCAAAGTCACCAAGACGCTCATTGACGAGGGACGAGGGAGCAGGCTGGGTTGAACGTCGTCTCCCCCGAGGTGTTCGACCAGATGTCATTCACTTTTTATGGTAATACTTAGGAACTAAGTTGGGTCACATAAAACTCATCCATGTATATCATAGCATAATGCAAATATATATATACACACACATAGGTATATGATGGAGCTGTTCAAAAGAAACAAAATTTGGAAGACAAGAATGAAAAATCTTGAGAACAGATATTAATAATAAGAAAAATGAAGTCCCAGTTGAATCAATCGATTGTGTAGGAGTGGTAGACCGGCCGGCCAACCATTGTTCCTTGGTGCGTGCCACGATCAGACGACAGCTAGATCATCAGTACTGCGGCAGGCTGCACTCGGGGCCGGGCTTCTTGTTGTCCTTGTAGTCGACGCAGTAGTCGTATATCCTGTTGTACTTCTGCTTCTCGAGCATCTTGGTCCGCTGCTGGTCGCTGAGGCCAGCACAGTTCTGCTGCTGGCCTCCATGGCCGAAGGCCCCCTCGCAGCCGTAGACGCAGGAGTCGCTTCCGTCGCAGGGGCAGACGTCGAGGACCATGTCGCGGTAGCTGGCGACGAAGGGCGCCTTGGACCAGTCGGCCTTGACGCGGCCGCCCTGCGTGCACCAGTCCTCCGCCGACCAGATGCTGGAGTAGCCGAACATGGGCCGCTTGATCGGGTACGCGATGCCCTTGTCCCGGTAGTTGCGGAACACCCTGATGGGGACGTCGTCGACGTACCAGACGATCATGCAGGGCGTCCAGGAGATGGTGTAGGTGTGGTAGTCGGTGGTGGGGTCGAACCAGGGCACGAACTGCATCTCCTTCTTGCCCACGCCGTCGGCGAACACGTTGGTGTGCAGCGTGTAGGGCTTCCCCGTCTCGTTCCCCAGGAACTCGAAGTCGATCTCGTCGTGGTCCTTCCCCACCGACGATGTCTGGATTGGCAATCAATCGTTGCACATACAGTGAGCATTGCAGTACAAACTCATTGGTAAGTATATATAGGTAATTAAGGACGATAGGATAGGATAGATACGTACGTAGTATGTGGTGACGGTGCCGGCGGAGTTCCCCGGGACGAGCTTGATGCGGGTGGAGACGCTGCCGTAGATGAACTGCTGCTTCGTCTGCAGCAAGCAGCCGGAGGTGTTGCTCTTCAGGGACATGGTGAGGCCGTGGCCGTCGTCGGAGAAGGCCGCGTTCTCGGCGTTCCACTTGATGTCGCAGTTGTCCCGGAAACTGGCGCCGGCGAGGCCAATGGTGGCCGCCGCCGCGACCGCGACCAGGAGGACCGCCCTTGAGCTGATATCCATCTTCATTTCTCCCTCCGGCTTGATGAGAATGCAGAGGGGTGACAGGGGCTTATATAACCAGCTAGCTCCTCTTGTTTCCCGTCAAAGGGGAGTTTTTGGTGCGCACGTTGTAGTACGTAGCTGTGCTGGGTTACTTAGCGTCATGTCTTGTTATTCTCTCTTCAGGTTGCCAGCTTGTTCAATTATCATACAGTATTTGATTGCTTGCCTGTATATGGAACGCGCCTTTGCCATGGTTAGTGCTCCGCACAACGGTGTTCCGTACCTCCGCTTGGCACCCGTCGGTGAAACGTCAGCCAAGGTGGGGAACCAAGGTGGTGGTGCGGCCCCTTGCCGGCAAGACGGCGTGGTGGCGCTGGTGTTGGGATCTACGGTGTGGTGCGTTGACTGCAAATTAAAATTTTCCACGCGCAGAACAACCAAGAACATGCTACGGGAGATGGATCACAGTTCGTTACCACTAGACGCGCAGTGTCGTGCAGCGGAAGAAAAGTTGGGGCAGTGCGTCCGCGTGGATCGTCTCCTCCACGTCCGATCTCCCTCGTACAGCCGGTGGTCGGTTTCCACGTATAGGTTCGCCGGAGCGGCGCAAGTGCACCGCCTCTAACGGTATCCGCGCGTGCAGGAGGAACGTCGTGCGGCGGACTGCTAGGTCCGATCACACAACCGGCGGCGAGTGGTGGTGTCTATTCGCAACACATGCAAACCCTACTGACAGCGCCGAAGCGATCAGCTGC